CAGGTGGTCAAAGTACATCTTGTCATTTTTCTTGGAACTGGAGTTTATGTCCAGGCCACCTTATTTTAAGATGGAGCCAAATTTTAAAATGGAGTCGCTTAGGTCTCACATTCACTTAGGTCTCACAGGGGGAGCAGGGCCAGGGGGCGGTGGGCAGGTCCCAACCTGCACGGCCTCTCTGGGAGCAGCTTGGTGGGTGGAGGGGCCCTGGGTCCCCCACCCGAGGCCTCTGAGTCAGAGGCTGCTCTCCCTGGGGTGCACCGCTGGAGGAGCCAGCTGAAAATAAACAGCTTCTGGTGCTCTTCGCTACTGGGATTAGAGAGAAGGAACAAACCCTGCAGCTGCATAGTAGGTGGCAGAAGAAGCGGGGGCCCAGCTGTGAAATCGTACCTGAAACCGCAGCTGACCGGCCTTCTTGACGCAGTTTGCAGGATCCATGGCCTCCTTACTCCTCCAAGATCCTCTGATCCTGCTGACCCAAAGGTGCGCTCAGGGGAGGGGACCCCCGTGGCTGTGGTTCCTGCTCCTAGCCTCCAGACAAGGGCACCGTTTGGGGTCCCCTCTGGGTCTCAGAGAACCCCGGTTGTGTCTCAAGAGTTGTCTAGTGTGTCTGCCTCAACACTGTGTGTAGTGTGTCTGCTTCTGCACCTCAGAACCTGGGAATAACTGCAGGGTTTGTTCAGGGTTCTTCTGGGCCACTGTGAAATGGACTAGTGCAGGCGCAGGCCATACGAAATTGGAAGGAAACTTCTAGAATGTAAGGGATCATGTTCAGGACCCTTGGGAAAACGGCCTGCAGGTCCACAGGACCCTGATGCTCGCCCTCTGCGGTGGAGGGCTAGGGGCCTCCCCCCAGACTCTGCAGGGGCTCCCGCTAGGAAGGGGGATAGCTCAGGACAGGTTGCCCTTCTCGGCAGCACAGGATGTGGGGTTGAGGAGAGCCTGGGCAGGGTGACACCTGTCGCACTGCGCCATTCCTAGCTGCCTGCTGAACGGAATCATGATGGTCATTAATCTTTGCCCTAAGCCAGGTGGTCAAAAAAAGATTTATTAAAAAAAAAATGAGCAAATGCTTTGGGATTCAAGTTGCCAGAAATAGCCATGAAAAGTACAGGGTACCCAGCTAAGTTTGAATTTTAGATGAACAGTAAATACTCTGTTGTTTACGGGACACACTTTTACTCCAAAGCAGTTTGCTACTTAGCTGAAATTCGAATGTATCTGGGGACCCTGTGGGTTTTTTCCAACTTGAAATCGTATCATTTTCCACTCACTGTAGAAGGGGTTTCCCATTTTATTTAAATTTTTAATTTTTTTGGTACCGGGGATCGAACTCGTAACCTTGCGCTTGCGAGGCAGGTGCCGGAACCACTGAGCTAAATCCCTGGCCCAGGTTTCCCATTTTAAATGTGTCCTGTGTGTGACCACAAATACACTGAACTGAGATGGATGGGGGGACTCATGAGATTTCGATCTGTCTCTTCAATGCTCCTAACAAGAATTCCACTGATCTACTAGGATTTTTGTGGGGTTTTTTGCACTGGAAAATAATTTTCAGGCAAAACAGAAGCACAGTCAGCTTTTCTGGTTATCTTCTCTCTTGCTTTTCACGGATGGTTCGTTCTCTAAGCAGTATCTGGGGACAGTGGACAAGCCTGTTATTTTTATCTTTAGGGAACTGTCTGCCAACCGGCTGTAACAGGGGAGGAAGGCTGTGTTAGGTTACTAATGTTCCAAATGTGCTCTGCGTGCCGCCGGGGGACATGGAGCCCCCTGCGTCCCTGGAGCTCTCAACTTTCCAGACCCCCGCGGAAGTCACTCCCTGTTCTGGGCGCTTGCCTGTGCACTGAAAGTTCTGCCAGGACAGCTCCCCAAGTCATGCTGAGCCTGTGAGTGCAGGAGGGGAGCCACTTCCTCTGATAGTTCAGCCTGTGGTGGCGAACCTCTCAGAGAGCGAGCACCCAAACTGCAACCCAAAGTCTGCTCATTTATCGCCCACACTGCAGTTGCACCCAAGCGCTTGGCTGCAGTGATGTGGGGGCGCCCTGGCTCGCACGTCCACAGAGAGGGCTGTGTGCCCGAGGCGGCACGCATGCCACAGAGTCGCCCCCACTGTCCCGGAAGTGGAGGGGCAGCCGACCCGCCTCTGCCAGCTCTGCTCCTTCGCCATAGCCCTTGCATTTTTCTGACTCCTTTCCTACCTGTTCAGATAGTTTTCCCCCCAGGCTCTCACCTGGTCTTCACGATGTTTTCTTTGCCATTTAGTGGCGTCTGGATGAGACTGTGGTCACCACGGGCTCTCCCTGGCAGTGTCTCCCCGTCAGGGTGGCAGTGGGCAGGGGGAGTGTGGGTATCCTGAGCACCAGGGACAGAGACTCAGCAAATGCACAGAGACAGCTCCAGTGGTGTCACAGGTGCCTGGAGTCTCAGGGATTTAGAGGATACATTTAATACATTTCTAATTTATGTCCAGGTCAGCAAAACCACCACCACAGGTCCAGATTGCAAAGGCATCCACCACAAACCCACATTTCCATGAGCCCCACTGTAATCTAACTCTTTCCTCTGCCTGCCCCAATACCCTCAACAAACATTGATTTTGGGTCACTGTAGATTTAGTTTGGATTTTCTAAATAATCACAAGTTAAGTAGTTTATTTTATTTTGAGACAGGGTTTTGCTATGTACTTCAGGCTGACCTGGAACTCTAAGGGATCCTCGTGCCTCAGCCTCCCAAGTGCTGGGATTATAGGCATGCACTATCATGCCCAACTAAGTACCATTTTAAATGAAATCTGGCTTCTTTTACTTAGCCTTTTGAGATTCATGCATGTGGCTGTGTGAATCAGTAGCCTGTTCCTTTTTGGCTGATGCGTAGTATTCCACTTTGTAGTTACACCTCTACTTGTCACCTGTGGAGGCCCAGCTGGACAGTTTCCAGTTGGGGGCTATAGAAATATAGTTGTCATGGACCACGGTGTAGAAATCTGTGTATGGATATGTGTTTTCATTTCTCTTGTGTAAACACTTAGGAGTGGAATGGGTATAAGCTTAGTGTTTTTTGTTTTTTGTTTTTTTGGGTTTTTTTTGGTACCGGGGATCAAACTCAGGTCCTTGGGCTTGCGTAGCAGGCGGCAAAACCACTGAGCTAAATCCCCGGCCCGTAAGCTTAGTGTTTTAAGAAACTGGAAATTGCACCTTTTTTTGTCCCAGCAGCAGTGTACGAGAGTTCTGATGGCTCCACATGCTTTTGGAACAAAGTTTTCTTGCTCCGTTCCTCCGTTCTTCTATGTTGGTGGCCCTACTTACCTTTGGGATGGGGGGTGGCTCCCGAGGGTCCCCTTTCAGTTGTACCGTGGCCTGCTCACTGTGGCACATCCGGGCTCAGGCTGAGCCTGTCACGGCCTCGAGGGGGACCGGTGGGCTCTGGGACCCTGTGTGTGTCCTTCCGTCCTCTCCCTAACACCCTGTGGCAGCTGCTCCCTCGTCCCCTCCCTCCCCAGACTCCCGAGCTCGGGGGCCCAGGCAGATGGTTCTGGCCCAGGCCCATCTTCGCCTCAGCCTGGGGCCTGCATGGTGCCACCTTCCGCCCCCCTGAGCAGAGTGGCTTGAGCTGGGCCCTTGAGGGTCTCGGCCTCGTCCTAACAGGGTTTTCAAAAGTTTCATAAGTCACACCCCGGCCCTTCAGGGACAGCGTGGAGAATGCTGAGGTTTGGAAAGCAAGATTTTCGTCACCTTACTTCATCAACTTAAGGCAAATTTCCCTCCTTGGCTCTGGGTCAGCAGGAGCAGCCATGAGTCCCCCAGTGGTGGATCGAGCCCTCAAAGGCCCAGAGTGAAGGTCTTGAGGGAGCAGTGAGCCAGAATCCAGCTGCCACACGGACAGGAAGCAGCCTTGGGACCCTGGACGTGCCGAGCCGCCCTGCAGATCTCGGCTTGGGGACTGAGCCTGGGTGATGAAGTGGCCGAGACCCTGTCGTCTGTAACTCAGCCGCAGAGGGGAAGCGGGACCTCACTGCCTTGCAGTCTCGGGCCAGTGTGGCCTGAGGTGTGTTATATTTAAAAGGTCCAAGCGTTCTCCTGTTAGATGTTTCTAAACCTAATTTTGCATTTGCTGTTGGTAGACTTCCTACGGCCCCATCGCCTTTGTGATGAAGTCACAGTGCTCCCAGCAACCTGAGGAGGCTCACGGCTGGCTGGATGGGGCCCTGGGTGTGTCAAGCAGGTGGGGGAACTTCCAGGACTTGCACAAAACCAGCTACCTGGCTTCTGAGCTCCACAGCCCCCTGCCAGCCACTTCTAATGACTGCAAGAAAATGAGCCTGAAAAATTGCTTTCTTTCCAGTGGGTTGCCTCTAATGTGGAATATGGCCACATTGGTTTGCTTAAAGCACATATTTATTCCATGTATTTTGTGGGACAGCATTTGGAAGGGCAGTGAGCTTGGGTAAGGCACAGGCTCTGCCGCCGGTGATACCCGGGCTCGAGTCTCAGTCCCGTCCCTATGCAGCCTCAGACCCAGTTCTGAGCCCCAGTTTCCTGCTTGGAGCAATGAGACCACGCCCAGCCACCCCGGGGTGGGGGGGGGTTGTTCAGGTTTGTGAAGAGCCCGGCACCTCGCATGCTCACCCTCCCCTGTTCTCCCGCGTCCCGTTTTGCACACAAAGGTACAAAACCACCGGGGACAAAGTCCCCGTTTATGTGGCCCGCCCTTGGTCAGGGGAGTCAGAGTCGCGTGGACCGGTCCTGGCTGCCCCGCAACGGGCCCCGCGCAGATTCCCCGCCACCGGGCCGGGGCGGGCTGTGGCCGCGGCGAGGGAGCAGGCCGCAGAGGCGGCTCCGAAGTGGGGGGTCGAGCAGCGCGTACAGAGGGGGGTTGACCCAGCAGTGCGCGGTGCCGATGACCTTGGCGACCCGCGCGCCCGCGTCCAGTCGGCTGTCGCTCTGGCAGCCGCGCAGGGAGAAGCACTCCTTGAAAGCGGACAGGAAAAGCACGATATTGTAGGGCAACCACATCAAAAGGAAGACGACCGCGACAGCACGGACGAGCCCGGACCTCTCACGCTGCTCCTCCCCGCTCCTCTTCCCCAGGCAGCCGCCCAGGAGAACCAGCAGTGGGAACACAAGCACCACAGCGTTCATCTTCAGGGTCAGAACGCGCTTCCAGGAAGTCTCCTCCGCCGGCAGGAAGTGAGGGCTGCTGATGGAGCACAGGGAGCTCTGCTCGTCCCGTGGAGGTTTATAAAACACCAGTTCAGGCAGAGTCACCAGGAAGGCGGTCAGCCAGGCCAGCAGCGCCATAATGACGCCCCAGGTCGCCGTCCTGAGGGCCGAGGACAGCCCTCTCACCCGGGACGCATGCACAGTCAGGAGCACGGTGAAGAGGGCTTCGCCGTGCAGCCCGAAGGACTGGAGCGCGAGGAGGACTCCGCACACGGAGCGAGGCCAGGCGGCTGCGGCCCAGAACGGCAGGGGCAGCAGGAAACACAGATTGGACAGTGCCACGTTGAGGAAATAGATGTTTTCCACGTGCCTGAGTCCTTTGTATTTGATCAGGATGAACAGAAGCCAGCCGTTGGCCAGGAGGCCGACCATGAACAGGGCGGAGCACAGCTGGGCCGCCTGCTGGGCCGACAGGACCGCAGCGCCCGACCTGTCACAAGGGTCCCCCTCCCCGCTGCTCAGATCACCGTCGATGAGGACGTCGTACTCGTCCTCGGGCACCGCCGTGTGGTTGGCCATCTTCCGGCTGCCTGCGGAGAGACAGAGGCTTTTTCCTGCCCGGCATCGGCGTCAGCCCAGAGGACAGGGCAGAGGATCAGTGCCCACACAGCCACACCCGACCTCCAGCCAGCCAGAGTCCTCCACACTCCCAGGAGGGAACAAACACTCCCCAGACACAGGCCTGGCCCCAGAGCCGTGACTCAGCTGGTAGGGGACGACACCTGCCCTCGCTCCCATTCTTTTGGGAGAGAAGCAAGACTTTCTCACGGGGACATGGCATCTCAGAAGCAAACAGTTAAAGAGACAAATACCGCGGCTTAACTGGGAGAGATGGGAGCAGGTTTAACCTCCGCAGGGTCGGAAATATCGCTCACCCTTGAGGCGGCTTCCTGCGGCAGGCTGAGATGGCTTCCTCTTGAAGGACACAAACAAGTGTTTGCAAAAGTGAAACCGTGCGGGACGCGGACAGGGACAGGGCTGGGGACACAGGGGACTCACCGCTCCGGGGTTCCGGGGTGGGGGCAGGGTGCCGCCCCTCTGCCACCCATGGGGGGCTCTGGGAACGCTGGGGGGGCCACTTCCTGCTGCACAGACCCGTCCTGACCCGGGGCGGGGGGAGCCACCGCTTGGTCCCCCGGCGCCTCTGCCCTCCCGAGACAGATGGAGTTGGCAGCTGGAAGAAAGCAACTTGAAAGGCGGGGGGGCCTCTGCAGCCTTCTGGGCCTCTGAGAGAAAGCGGGAAGTTGTCTTGCCTTCCCCTCCTGCACCCCGCCTCTGATTTCCCCAGACCTTAGCCTTCAGACAGCTGACTGGCTGCTGCTGATAAGGGCGCTGAGGCACCACCCGCCTGCTGGGGCAGATCGGAGGGGCGAGGGTCAGGCAGGCAGCGCTGAGTAGGGGGCAGCTACAGCGGAGAAAACCCTCCTTGGTCAGCACAAGTCCATCCCGGGTCCTGACCCGCAAAGGCAGCTGGGCCCGCGCTGAGCATACCCACGCTGGCCAGCCTTGCGCCTGAGTTTCTGGGGTCTCTTGTGAGGGTCTGGGTGGGCTGACGGAGGCACAGGCCCGAGAGAGGATATGGGGAAGCGAAGCCCCCAGGGGGTGTTCCCAGGGTAAGAGGCTGGGGCCGTGGGGACTGGATGGAGCCTGGGAGGCGGCCCCAGGTGGTGACAGCTGGAAACACAAGGGGGCCCTGCAAGGCACCTAGGGGGCTGGAGCTGGGACGCCGGGAGCCTGACCCGAGAATCCCGTGTGAGGACCAGGAGGTGACACAGCAGGTCGGGTGACCCTGAGAAAAGAGCCTGGATGGGCCCGGGGAGGGTGCGGGAGGGGTGGGTGGCTTGGAAGAGGATGAGAAGAGGAACTGGAAAGGACATGAAAAGTGAGGGTGACCTCAGGCTGAGGCTCTTGGCAGCTCTCCCCGACCTCCCTGGGGCCTGTCCCGCGCGGCCTCTGCTCGGCGGTGTATCCGGAAAGTGTCCCTGCCCTCGCAGACGCCGACCATGGGAAACCCCAAGGAGAAAAAGAAAATCGGAAGGGCCCAGACTTTGGCACGGCTGAGCTGAAGCCCCCCGAGGCAGAAGAGGGACGCGGGCTGGTGCTGGGGGAAGAGGGCCGGGCCTCTCCCAGGAGGGGCAGTGGTGGTCACCGGGGCCCTGGGAAGCTCTGACACCCTGGGGTCCCCTTCCAGGGTCTCTCCCTCCTGCAGCTGGGTGATGGGGGCCGCCCCAGGACACTGGGAACTGAGCGGGCAGCTCACGGTCAGTCAGTCCAGGGCAGGAGAGCAAAGTCACATCAGACTTGGCAGCGCGAACAAGCCCTGCATACACGGGTTGCTCTTTGGCTGGCCACTTGGAGGGGAAAATCAGCAGCAGGCGCCACACCTGCTGTGTGTCACAGAATCATGGGACGTTTGGGAAATTTGAAAAGTTTCCCCAGGAAAGCATTGCCCTGTAAACTCAGGCTCACCCCGACTTTCTGATTATCGCAGCCTCCGCTTTCACTATTGTTATTTTGGCTCAATTCCCAGCATGCTGCTTCTCCACATCCACGCAATGGGATTCTAGAAACTTCTACACTGGTGGAAGAGAAGGCTTAGGACTCCAAAGCTGAGGGAAGAGGGAAGATTCCTTTGCCATCTCAGTACCTGAAGCTAGACAGGGCCATCCTGCCAGTCAGCTTCCTGTCACTGCAACAAAATACCTTTCAGCAGAGGGGAGGCTCGCGTTCCCGAGGTCTCAGGCCATGGTCCCAGGGCCACACGTCCTGGCGTGATGGCCTTGTCCGGGCCTTTAGTCTGAAGAGCTGTCACTTTAGACTCTCACTGCCCCATCCATGGAGCTGGCCAAACCATGGGTTCCTCCGATAGCCAATGCTCCTTCTTGTCACCAAGTTCTTATGTCAGGGACTCTGAAGACGCTCACTGGGGGTGATTTCAGCAGTAAGCGTACAGAAGACACGAAAATAGACTTCATGTTATATCGACCTTCGGTTAAGAAAAGCAGGGCACACGGGCCTGGCTATCACGGCCTTCCAGCTCCTGGGGGCTGTCTTGGGCTCGCTGGGACTCCCAGGCTGGACCCCACACACGTGTCCCCCTTGTCAGCTGGAGCAACAGGTGTGAGAAGGGCTCAGTGAGAGGCAGGGCCTTCTCCTTCGGGCTCCAGGATGGGGGTTTATTCTTCTGTTTGGGCAGATTTGCCACTTCCGTATGGAGACCCAGTGGTGTGTGCCCTCTGGCGGTGTCTGTGGACCCTGAGGTCCACGACTTGCACGTGGCCTCTGTCTCCTGTGTACATGCGTGGGAAGCGGGGTCCAGGGTGGTGTCATCGAGAAGCACTGGGACCCTGAAGTGGTGCCCCATGGGAGCTCGACGGGGGCCCCGCTGTCGGCAGGGTTGATGAGGCTCTCAGGGACCCCAGTTAGTTCCTGGAGAGCGGACTGATAGCAGACAGCGAGGTTTCTGGCTTCGTGTCTCACGGTGTGACTTCTCTCTCTCACCTTCTCCCTCCAGGGCTGTGCTGGCACCGTGCCTTGAACCTCGAAAACTGTGGGCTCATAAACTTTTCTTTATAAAGTCCCCAGGCCTGGGCATTTAGCTATAGCCATGGAAGGCAGACAGATACACCTGTTGAGTTTGGATGTTGCCCTGGTGGGCAGCCTCCTAGCGGAGTCGGCCGGTGTCTGAGAACAGCTTCCTGACAGAGCAGTTCAGGGACCCAGGTCCACACCTGCTAGGCATCTCCCGGCCCCCTCCGCAGTTCCTGCTTGGCTGCCCCAAGCTGCAGCCCCTCAGCATATGTCACGACTGCACAGGGGCTGGCAGCCAGCGCCCTCTTCCTCCAGGTGTGGGCCAACCTCCTGAGGGAGGCAGCTTCCAGGCTGGCGCTTTCCCTGGGGCTCAGTGGAGAGGTCCTGGCTGCTCCCCACTTCTGCCCTCCTGTGTTCTCTGGAGCTCTCCTTCCTGTCTTTAGTAGCTCATCCCCTTTTGTGAGTAATTTTTAAAATCTTTAATGCCAACTGTTCCAATTACTAGTGTGGTTTCTGTCTCTTGATGAAATGCTGATTCCACAGACAGTAAATTTAGTTCAGTGCCAGGATGGTGAGTGTCATTTTTCAGAGACCTAACCTGATATAACGACACGGAGTACTACCCTGCCATAAAGAAGGAGAAACACAGTCATTTATAGGAAAAAGAGTGCACCTTGAGACCATAATGGTAAGTGAAATAGATCAGACACACAGACTTAAATATCACACGGTTTCTCTTATAGGAGAAACTCAAGGCATAAATCCTAAGAAATGGGGAGAAAGTTCTTTCACAGAAGGGAAGGGACCAACAGACGGAGGGAGAGGGGAGGGGCCAGGAGGAGAAAGGAGTTGAGGTGCGTTGTGCAGGTGCACCAACCCCCCACGAGGAGTGCAGTTGTCACATGCAGCCAACATGCGCTGATAAAAAAATTAAAACTGAAAAAAAGTATTAGGTTGTTTAAAATTATAAAAGTATGACCCATTCTTTCCAACAGCTTCTTCAAATATCAGTTCTTCCAGATTATCTGTCTGTCATCTGTTTATGTATGTATGTATGTATGTATCTATCTATCTATCTATCTATGTATCTTTCACTTAATCTGTCAATTTTTATTAACAAATAAGACTTTACAGGACATTTGGGAAGTATAGAAGAAAAGAATCTGTGATACTGATATCCCCAAGTAACAGTTATTATAATTTAAAAAACAACACTGCTTCTGAATGAAATGTGCAAAAACAACTTTTAGAAAATAATTTTGTGCTGGATTAGTTGTTCCTTGATGAGAATGGCATTGAAGGAGTAACCCCCCACGTGCTGTGATCGAGGGGGACCTGAGAATGTCCCACCCTGCCCCAGGCTTTCCCCACTCTGGCTTATGCCTGAAATCCCACCCTCCTGCCTCAGCCTCCCAGCAGCTGGGACCCCTGAGGGGGAGGGGATGCTTCTGAAACACAAATCACCAATGATCAACCCGGGAAGTTCAGGTTTCGGATGTCCTCAGGGGAAGGAAGTTGTGAACAACCTCCGAAAGCAGTGCTTTCCAGTGTGCGCTTCCCTCTGCAGTGGCGAAAACACGCGGAAAGCAGGTGCACCTTCTCGAGTAAAGTTTTAAAACAACAGGGCAGTAAGAATAAAGTGAGTTTCTTTTTCACAGGGTCTCTCCGGGCCAGTACCCTTCCTGACGAAGAGAGGGTGCAGGGTTCGCAACGTGGATTGCAGAACCTCTTTGTTCTTTGCTTTACTTATTTTCAGTTGACAAATAATATCTGTGCATTGTTACTGGGGTATTATTATTCAATCTGACTGACACACCCATCACTTCACCAATTCATTGTTTTGGTGAGCATCTTAGAAGTGTATTGTTTTAGCCCTGTTGAAGTAGACATTATTTTTCACCTGTGGCCACCATGTGCTGCACCAGATCACTAACTGACTCCTTCCATCCGAGAGTTTTAGCCTTTTATCAACATCTCCTCTTTCTCCCATTCTTCCCCTTGTCCAGCTTCTGGTAATCACCTTTCTACTCTGAAATGGACGTTTTAAGATTTCATATAAATGAGATCACACAGTATCTGTCTCTCTGTACCTGACTTTTTTCTTATGCCTATGACTTAGCATAACATCAGAACTTCCTTCTTTTTCCAGACAGTATGCTATTCCACAGTGGATATATGCCACATTTTCTTCTATTGATGGACACCTAGACTGCTTAAATAGCTTGACTATCATAAATAATGCAAAAATGAATACAGGAGTGCAGATATCTCTTGATTTGAAGTGAGATTTCTGGATTATAGGGTAACTCTAGTTTTAGTTTTTTGAGGAATCACCATTCTATTTTCTAAAATGGCTGTAGTAATTTACATTCTTTTGGGTGGGGGTAGTGCTGGGGCTTGAACCCAGGGCTTCGGTGTGCTAGGCAAGGGCTTCACCACTGAGCTACATCCCCAAACCACAAAGTTTACATTTGTACCCACAATTCACAAGGCTCCCTTTTCTCCACCCTGGGCCGATGCATGTCGTAGTTTGTCTTTTCATGATAGCTGTCCTAACAGCCAGGAGTTGATATCTCATTGCAGTTTTACCTTGCAGATCCCACTTTTTTCACATATCTATCGGTCCCTGTACCCTTATGTTTTGAGAAATGTCTGCTCAGCTCTTTTGGCTATTTCTTCATTCAGTTATTTGTTTCCTTGCAATCGAGCTGAGTTCCTTACACGTTTTCCATGTTAGCCCCACATCCAATGTACAATTCGCACATATTTTCCCCCAACCCATGGGCTGCCGCTTTACTATGAATTGCTTCCTTTGCTGTGCAGAAGGCCTTTTGATTTGCATGCTTTGGATCTGCCTACTTTTGCTTTTCCCCTGTGCTTGTAGCCAGGAACTCGCTGCCCAGCCCCATGTGGTGAAGATG